CTGAAACAGGCCAATGAAATTGCTGTTTCCCAGTTTTTCACACTGGAATATAGGGTGTACATTCCAGCTTCTGATGTGGAGATCGAAGGCGTGGTCACTGAGGCGAGCCTGAACCCCGAGATACTGGAGAAGCAAGCAGATGGCCGATTCAAGAACCCCTTGCTTCCTCCGGTAAAGATACTGGCCGTTCATAGAATGAAGTCAGTATCGCTCAGCGAGGGTAAAAAGAGTTTTACCCCCACAGACTCGTTTCGGGTGACCTTTTCTGGATCTGCCCTTCCTCAATACATCGAGCTGGGAAAACTTCGTCTTCCTGTGCGGTTGTTTGTACCTCGGGTCATGAACTGCCGGAATTGTAAGCGGTTGGGACATACGGCCTCCCACTGCGGCAACAAGGCACGCTGCTCCACATGCGGGGAGAAGCATGAGGATGGCACCTGCGCAGCTACTGCACCAAAATGCGTGTACTGCAATGGAACTCCTCCTCATGCTCTCTCGTCGTGCCCGGCGTACAAACAGCTCGGGGACAAAATGAAACGCTCCCTTAAGGAACGTTCCAGGCGGTCTTTTGCAGAAATGCTTAAGACAGCCAAGCCATCGACCAACGAAACAAATCCCTTCGCTCTTTTGTCAGATGACGAGTCTGGCTCTGACTTGGCTGAGGAGGGAGTTTCTTTCAGTTTTCCGGAAGGTTCTGCCCGGAAACGAAAACGCATCCGTTCGCGGAAAGTTGCAGATCAAGAACCCCAAATCAGCTTGCCCAAATCAAGGAGTGGTGGAAAAAAGGAGACTTCTACTCCTCCTGGATTCCGCAGAACTGATTATACCCAGGATTTTCCACCTCTTCCGGGGACATCCAAAACCCCTGATGCCCCAATTTTAAGAACAGAAACCCCTTCTTCATCTGGGCTGTTCTCATTTGATGACATTGTGGACGGTATTCTCAAATACCTCAACATTTCTGATCCTCTGAAAAGCATTGTCCTCACATTGCTTCCGACTGTGAAATCCTTCTTGAAGCAATTGACTTCAAAATGGCCCCTTCTTGCAGCTATCATCTCCTTCGATGGATAATTTTCCAAACGAGGTCGGGGATTTGATCACTGTTCTACAGTGGAATTGTCGAAGTCTTATTCCGAAATTAGATTCGTTCAAGTATTTAGTCGCGCGAAACGTCTATGAATACGCTTTGGAGTACGGCGCGAAGAATGCGTAACCGGTCTACTAACAACGAAAGCGAGGAATGCTCGGATCAATGGATTCTTAAATTCGCGCGAAAAGTGTGTCCGGATTCCGTGCCGTCGCAGTTGATTCCTCGCGAAACCGCGAATTCGGTACACGAAATCAGTCAGCCTTTTTCAATGGTCGAACTTTCACTCGCTCTCCTTTCGTGTGGTAATTCTGCCCCGGGATCTGATAGAATCAAGTTCAACTTGCTGAAAAACCTCCCAGACGTCGCTAAGAGGCGCATGTTGAACTTGTACAATCAGTTCTTGGAGCTCAATATTGTTCCCCACGATTGGAGACGAGTAAGGGTGATAGCCATTAAAAAGCCTGATAAACCCGCGTCGGATCACAATTCGTATCGGCCCATCGCGATGCTGTCGTGTATTCGGAAATTGATGGAGAAAATGATCCTTTTTCGCCTCGACAAATGGGTTGAGACGAACCACCTTCTTTCAGATACTCAATTTGGTTTCCGTAGGGGTAAGGGAACGAACGACTGTCTCGCGTTGCTTTCCTCGGAAATTCAGTTGGCTTTTGCTAAGAAAGAGCAAATGGCTTCTGTATTCTTGGATATCAAGGGGGCTTTTGATTCAGTATCCGTTGAAGTTCTTTCAGAGAAACTCCACGCTTGTGGATTGTCTCCATTAATGAATAATTTTTTGTACAATTTGCTGTCAGAAAAACATATGAGCTTTTCTCATGGAAACTCTACAGCTTTTCGATTTAGCTACATGGGTCTCCCCCAAGGCTCATGTTTAAGCCCCCTTTTGTACAATTTCTACGTTAGAGAAATTGATGTCTGTCTTAGTGACAATTGCACGTTGAGACAACTTGCAGATGACGGCGTAGTGTCTATCACAGGGCCAAAAGAGGTTGACCTGCAAGGACCCTTACAGGATACCTTGGACAATTTGTCTACTTGGGCTATTCAGCTAGGTATCGAATTCTCCACGGAGAAAACTGAGTTGGTCGTTTTTTCTAGGAAGCATAGCCCAGCACAACCGAAGCTTCAACTTTTGGGTAAACCGATCACTCATTCCATGTCTTTTAAATATCTCGGGGTCTGGTTCGATTCCAAATGCACCTGGAGATCCCACATTGAGTATCTGAGATGAAAATGCCAACTTCGATCAATTACCGGAACGTGGTGGGGAGCCCATCCACAAGATCTTCTGACGTTGTACCGGACAACGATTTTATCGGTTTTAGAGTACGGTAGTTTTTGCTTCCAGTCGGCAGCTAAAACGCACATCATCAAGCTGGAACGGATCCAGTATCGTTGTCTTCGTATCGCGTTAGGATGCATGCACTCGACTCATACTATGAGTCTCGAAGTGCTGGCGGGCATGTTGCCACTATCCGTCCGTTTTTCAGAGTTATCTCTTAGGCTCCTCACCCGTTGCGAAGTAATGAACCCACTGGTGATCGAAAATTTTGAGAAGCTTCTGGAGCTAAATCCTCAAACATGTTTTATGACTTTGTACTACCTATATTTAACACAGGATGTCAGCCCTTCAAGAAATATTCCCAATCGTGTAATCTTCTCCGATTTCGGCAATTCAGTCAATTTTGATTTATCTATGACGCAGGAAATCCGCGGAATTCCAGAGCATCATCGTCCTATGATTGCTCCGTCATTATACGCTGCAAAGTTTGGCCATGTTGATTCTGCAAGAACGTTTTTCACAGATGGATCTCTAATAGAGGAGTCCGCTGGTTTTGGTGTATTTAATGCATTTCATAGCGCCTCTCGAAAACTTGAAGCTCCTTGTTCTGTGTATGTGGCTGAACTGGCTGCAATTCACTACACTTTGGAAACTATTGCTTCACTTCTTCCAGACCACTACTTTATTTTTACGGATAGTCTCAGTTCTGTCGAGGCTATCCGTTCCATTAGGCCGGTAAAGCACTTCTCGTATTTGCTCTTGAAAATACGAGAACTGCTTAGTACTTTATCCGTGCGCTCTTTCATCATCACCTTCGCGTGGGTCCCTTCGCATTGCTCAATTTTGGGCAATGAGAAGGCGGATTCACTTGCGAAGGTGGGCGCTATGGAAGGCGACATTTATGATCGACAGATCGCCTATAGTGATTTTTTCTCTATTTATCGTCAGCAGTCGCTCGTTAGCTGGCAACATCAATGGAGTGAAGGGAGCTTGGGACGATGGCTACATTCAATTATCCCTAAGGTGTCGAAGTTTGCATGGTTCAAAGGGTTAAACTTGAGTCGAGACTTCATACGCGTGATGTCTCGTCTCATGTCCAATCACTATTGTCTAAACGCTCACTTGTTCCGTGTGGGGTTGGGAGACAGCAATCTCTGTGAATGTGGACAAGGTTACCAGGACGCTGATCACATCCTTTGGTCTTGTGCGGAGTATCGTGGAGTCAGATCACATTTTTATGATTCCCTTCGGGCTCGAGGTAGACAACCTAATGTTCCAGTTCGGGATATTTTGGCTAGACGCGATCTGGAGTTTATGAAACTCATATATGTTTACTTTAAGGATATTAACCTTAGATTGTAAGTTTGATTAACCTTGTGCTTAGTTTGTATTTTGTACGTGTGGGTTTTTTTTTTCAATGTTTGTTTTCAAGATGAATAGAAATAATTTCATGCTTTAGGATTAATTAAATAGTTGTATCGTAAACCACATTTCAAACCTCCTTCTTCCCTTTTCCCATCCAAAAAATTGTAAATCTCCACTAACCTCGAGACAACCGCGAGTACTCGGTCCAGTTCCTTTAACTTTAAATTTAAGACAGTAATAATGTATAACGCAAAGGATAACTCGGCTCTGTAAAGTTTATTCGATTGAGCCTGTACAAATAAAGTAATTATAAAAAAAAAAAGTTCGCAACGATAAATTTCAAAGTTTTTCATTTCAAATAATTATGCCAGTTTTGGAACATGAAAATTGCTCACGTTCCCCAATCTTCTCCCTAATTCCCCACTCCATGTACGGAATATTTAATAATAAATAAAACACCCTAAAACTTGAAGATTTTTCTAAATCCAGGATCATATAATTTAAAAAAATCTAAATCTTCAAAATTTCTATTATTTTCTAAACCGTGAAACTTGATCCTGTGTCCATAATCTTGAAATGTAAATCTTGTAACAGCCCTGTATGTAGGTTAAATAAAAGTTGAACATTCCTAATTAGAACAGAATAAGCTTATTTTTGGTAGAATAAGCTGTTACATAGCTTTGAATGTTTGTAGGGTAGCCTCTTTGCCACTCTCCAGGTTATTTGTACCTGTGGATGAGAATTGGACTCGTGACTTTCAACTTGAAAGGCAGGGGTGCCCAATAAATCAATTATTTATCCTATTTTTTCTATCGGTATCCATTTATTTTCTTAAAACTCCATGGCTACCGGTAATAATTTTGACCTACTTGCTTGGTAATGCTAATTAGTGATACAATGTAACACCATTTCCATTTACACTGCACACACTTGCACTGATTATTTGCTTACCAGTTAGTCCCTTTATTTTGACAACTATAAAGTAAACCAATTCAAAGTTTTGCTTGCTCGAGATGCAAAATGTTTCGTTTTAAAATTCAAATGGAACGAAGATACCTTGCGGGATTTATTTTCATATTATTTTTGAGGCCATATCTAAATACGCTTGATGACATATTTCTTGAAGCATAAGACTTTCTGCTTGGGTTGCTGCAAAAAACTGTCATAAGGTTGGTTTTCTTATCCCTTCCCGAGATATCTTCCCGAGATATCTTAGAAATAAAAATGAGCCATACAACTTACAGAGCTTCTCGCCTGTGCTGCGCCACGAATCCAGTCGGCAGGAGTGAGTTGTCAATCCGCACGATGCGCTGCCGAAACAGGGGATGACAGTTGAAACGAAACTCCATCTTGTGTTGCTATATTCGGTAACTTCCAAACACTTTTGTAATTAAAATCGATCGGGACGAAACTATTCCCTTCTTTGCACAGCACCGAAATTCAAACCCGGAGAAATCGTTGAACGTAAATTGCACTGGAAATTTCCTCCCGCCGTTGTTTCTTCACCTTACGGAAATTGACAGGCATGCATTTCAAATGCCAAACACTCAAAACACTAAGCACCGCCGCACGTGTGGCTTCCTTTGATCTGTTTTCCGAACGGTTTGTGTGGAATGACCGCAAGTTAATAAATTTATTAAGCACGATTCATCACAATATCCTGGGCTGGGTACAAAATAAGATGTTCTGTGGAAGAAGAAGAAGAATAAGGAGAATTCGTTACAATTGGTCAGGAAATGTAGGTTGATTCAAAGGGAATGATAAAAGAATGGAGTGTAATTGTGCAGGGGTGTTATATGATTTGTGGTTGTGTTTGTTGTTTACTACGACTTTGAGGAAACTCCCCAACGAATCGATTTCGATGCTAATCCGATTCGAATTATGATGGATTTGTTTTTTTTTTTATTATTAGAAGACCGTTGACCTGATTGCATTTCCTCGGATAACGAACGTCGATTTTATGAACATACAATGGCCTACGACAACCGGTTGGTTCAGGTTGACCAGAGAAAAAAGCAATTTGGCCTTTTTCATTGAATGGGTTTGAAAAGTGTCATTTGAAAACTGTCATGTCTGTACCTACATGCAAAACAAATGGCATACACCATCAAATGCAAGGGACGATTTATTACATCCTCTGTATGTTTTCTTACAACATATGTTATGTCAGTTCTTACAACGGATCGTAGCGTACAAGAAAGTTTTTCCAGAATGAATATTTTTGTGTAAAACTTTCTCGAGAACCAAATTTTTATGCGTGCTAAATAAATAGCAAAATTATTTAAAATACCTTCTGTTGACCACATTACAAACATATGCAAAGCAGTAATAGAATCTTACATTTCTCGGTTGGGTGTACTACAATTACGTGAGGATTGAGAGCCTAAAAAACCATACTCATCCGTTTCGCTCGACTAATCCCAAAATGCAGCACCAAGCCCACCTTACATAATTTCGACTAATCTAACCATCGTCCGTTCACTTGTCGTCCGTTGGAAGGTATGTAGGTAATTGAAAATTTTCTTTTAACTCTTTTACCTGGGTCATCCGCCTTCGATCCATGTAGTTTGTCGATTTCAATAATGCTAGATATTAAACACGGCTTGTTGTTGATCTAGATTTGTGCCCGCCAATTGACCGACGACTGCCGGTAAGAGGAAAATAACCGGAGTGGAAAATTAGCGGGAAATGCTTCACCACTGTCTGTCGTTGTTGCATTGTCCGTCCGTACGATGCATTGGTATTTGATGAGTGGTGTGCACTGTTATGATAGTGCTCATAGGTTGCATGTTTATTTTCACGTTCATATTTATTAGAATAGCCTAGCTTTGACTCCACCCCTAGCAACGGTGAAAGCACGTGCACAAGCTACTTCGATCGCTTAGGTTCGGTTTCAAAACAGACACTGTTAGGAAGCGCCACTTCATTTTCATCGCATTTTTCAACTCAATTTTATTTACGTGTATTTCCGAATCTTACGCAACGGCAGACGAAACGGCGCCTATTGAGGTCAACCAGAACCGTTCACCCAAAATGTGTTCTTAATTATTCGAATCGATTTCCTTTGCCAACAACTGGCTGCAACATGGTGGTGAGGAGTGGCTATAAAAATTACCAGAAGCCTCTGTCCAGTTCAAGCACTCTTGTTCTTTTCGGCAACAAAAGTCAAGTTGAAGGAAATAGTGGCGCAAGCCTTGCCCCCGGAGTCAAGAAAACGCAAACATAACCTCTCAAAGGATTTTGGGTCGTAAAGGCGAATCTAGGTAGTGCGTCGAACCTTTCTGACTTGAAAATCATTTCTCATGTGACTCCCCACTTTTCGTTCGCTTCTGATATGTTAATTTGATTTTCCAACAACGGCATGTTACGAAATAGTGAACCTTAACTAGTTTTTCTTTTGTTGTACATAGACGGCGTCAGAATAATAACTTGCTTATTTAGTGTGGATTAGCATCGTGGTAATTTATTCCATCTTACCGATGAAGAAAGACGAAAAGAGGCGTTAAGTCCCCTTTTTCAGACGACGTCATTTTCGTGTCGTAGTTGGAAGTGGCGACCGGATCGAAAGTCAGATCTCAAGAGAAGAAATAGAAACCGAAGCGAAAGCCCCCAACGGCCCAACCAAGCACCGACATCAAATTGTGCATTTTATCGCGACTTTTACCCACTTTCAACTACACGCCTGGTCCAGTCGTCGTCGTCTTCGGTCGGTAGCGTCACGGTCTTCTTCCCGGGTTCAATACCGGCTGGAGTCATCTCTTCGGCGTACATATGTCTGTATGCATGCAGCGATCCAAGAAGGCGCTGATTGAAGCGATCTTCATCCATCGAAGACGACGCGCGCGCGCTCATTCAGTTCGATGACCCACATTTTCGGTGGTCGATTTGAAGAGATAAATAAACTGCGAGTCGTTTTCACTCGTTTTTCGCCTTTAGGCTTTTCCTATTTTTTTTAAAATGTAATTAGATGTTAGATTTGCCACTTGCTGGCAGTTGGAAGTTGTGAACTTTTATTTCGCAGGCAGTTGGTAAGTAAATGGAAGCATTGACATTCAAATCACCACAGAAGCAATCTTAGATAAATAATGTTCAAGTGATTGATGAATTTGTGCCTCAAAATTGATAACTATTCAGTAGCTACAAAATACCATTTTCACTTTCTCCCAGGTTTAATCAATTACTCTCCCATTTACCTTTTGTTTTTGTTTTTGTAAGCTACCTTGGCGACGACCGCCACCAATGATGTTGCTGAAATTGAAACCAAAACACTCGAGCCCCAATATCGGGAACAGTGCGCTGTCGAACTAAAAAAAATAGCATTCTGACGCCTCTGACGCGACCCAAATACTCATCGCACTAGGCACAATTTCCCCCTTAAAACATCCAACTGTTCCTAGGCAGCATTTATTTATTCTACCTACGATTTCAAGGTTTGCCCATTGAGTCGAGAAATTCCTATTCCTATATGTAACTACTTCCTATGATCTCCTGGGGGGAAGTCACTGTAACTTGATCTACCTTTCCATAGTAGGCATCATCAGCATTGTTGTCGCCGTCGTCGTCAACGGCCGTAGATGGAAACAAGGCCAACTGCGTGATGCCAGAATAACAACAACTAACGCCACGAAGTAGGCTGCGACGGAGTTGCGATTCAATTGTGCCCCAACTACTCAGCTCATTTTTTTTTAAATGCTACAATTATCCCACTCACTGCTTATTTTTCACCAACGCGCGCACACTTACTCCAGATCGCAATCACGCGACAAGTGGGGTGGTTATTCCAAACGAAAGTTTCGAGCGGAATTGGAGCAAATCGAGAGTCAATATCGCGAAATTTGTCCGAATCATACCGGCTAATTTCCCTTTTATTGAAATTTGTAGAACGGCACACACCGAGCCCGATCCAAGTAGGCGCGCGGTGATGCTGGTTGCCATCGTGATGGCCTAATTTTTTTCAATTTTTCCATTTAATCTTCCGTGCAAAATTTTATGTTTGTATATACCTACATGTGCACGCGGGAAGTGAAAAATATGCGAACTTGCTGCGGATAGAGATAAGAAAAACGCTAGATGAATGAAGTTTTTGCACCTTTTTTCGCAGGTGTGTTTGTAGTTTTCTTCTGCTTTGAGCAATTTTGCCGGTAGCTGAATGCGTGTAACGGAACAGTTCTTCCAGGAAATCATCTGTTTTAAGTGGTTATTGTATATTGTGCATATTTTGTTTTCAATTCTCATTGGATTTGTTTTCGGTGGCCTATTTTGTTTTGTTTTTCAAGTGAAATAAATTGATTGCAATACTTTGTATAATTTTTGTAATTTAAATTGGACGAGTTTTTCAAACCCCAAAAAAATCATAAACAACAGTTTGTAGACATTTGTAGCATCTTGGAATCGGCTGAGATCGAAGAAGTTTGTTGGAAACTCATAAATTATTTCGACTATGTTTTTCTTTTATATTACTATAACAAATATACTTTATTAACTATATTGGCGAGCTAACCACCGACAAACCGACATGAACGATCATACAAATTACAAAGATCAAAGCACCAAACTGACATCTGCCGCCGTGTTCGCGGAAAATATTTATCCTAACCACGAACACGCGTACACAATTTATGAGCTGGTTCGTGTCTAATCTATTTCGGACAAATTATTTTAATCTAGATAATACATTTCTATGGTTTTGACAGATGGGATCGCTGCACATTTGAATAGGCCGTTATGGATTCTCGATCAAGGGTTAAGTTTAAGTTTCATGTCGGTTTATCGGTGATCTAACGTTAGCGCTCGTTTCGAATATGAGAACTAGAAAAATAATAAAAGTTTCTAAATTTTGCACGGAGAGGTATGGGAGAAAACTTTAAAAAGTGCTTGTAAACAGTACCACTGAACTGTCAAAAATGTTCAGCCGATTAAAACTTAGTTCATTTGGGACGTCACGCTGCAGCTCCTTATAGCTCACTCTTCACTTTTCCAAACGTCACGCAGGAAACACACCATCTAACGTCAAAATAAGGAACCAACATGCATTTGATTTCAGTCGAGGGGTGAGGGACATGCAATCATTACACATGAACAATACAATTCTGTTACATTAATTACAATCAGTGAAATAATTTGTGTACATTGCTTAAGTCTGTAGATACTTATGAGAACACGAAAATAATTGGTTGAGCAAGTTTTGTTTTATACATCTGCTGTAACTTTGATGCACCCTTCGTTATGAGTTTAGAATAAATTAGTTAACTTTTCTGACGCATAGGCGCACTTGTTGGTGGAAAATCGTGTCGACGATAAAACGAAAGAGTGAACCATATTGGTAATATATGTATTTGCTACTAAGCTAAAATAAATGGTTGAAAACATTGGAATATAGGAAAAATCGACGACTTTGTAGTTTTATAAAATTACCTTAGTCCAAGGTATTTAAGTTTTTTGTCAACTTCTTGACTGTCATAAATAGCCATGCTTGGATAGCACAGTTTATCGATAACTAAAAACTTAAATTTATGTAAATAGAAAGAAGAAGTAGAAAAACTACTTCGACCTAATCCCCTATTTTGGGCTTATTGAGCTGAAAATATTAAATAGGGGAAATGTCTCTAATGTTGGCCTATGGATCTAAGATTGGGCCCATCGCTAAAAATCTGCTATTTATCAATTTTATCTAGATGAACGCGTTA